TAACGTACTGCATTAAGAGTCCTATGAAATTCACTAATCATCTTACATAAATTCATCTTTTAAGGATTTTTCCCAGCTTAATGGCACGAATACTTTCTATTTTTCAACGTTTCTGCAATAAAATCTCCTTGAATAAATATTGTCATACAACGTTTTAATGTGTGTGTGTGTGTGTTTTTTCTCTGCTTTTATCGGTTACAATGAATTTTTGTTTTGAGTAGGCAGGACAAAAGAAAAGAGAGAGACTGCTAGAAAGTAAAAGATTGACATGTTTGATAGCTCGGTAAATAGAAAACCACACTAGCAGAGCATAATAGCTGTACATAATTTAACAGAAAAAGCTAAATTAGGAAAAATGCAACAAGAAAAGGAAATTATCCATACCTTAATAGTGACAATAAGGGAACGAAAAGAAGCTGCATAAAGGTGAGTTATTCAAACTTAATTGGGTAGAATTGTTTGTTTTAACACAAATCTACACCACTGGCTATATATCCTTTGCTCCCCACGGGTATCAAAACTCAATTTCTAGCGTTAATAGCTCTCAGTCTTACCGTTAAGCCATCTGGGGAGAGTAGGGGAGAGCAACGGGGAAGAACAGATCAGTAAGAGTGGCAGTTACAGATAAAGGAAAGAAAAACGATAGCATAAAATTGGGAGTTATGGAGAAGTAGGACAAAGAAACTGAAAATGTGTGCAGGAAAAGGGAGTTGTTTTTTAATTAACTAAATAAGATGTAGTAGCTGACACAAGTGTGAAGTTATTCGTTACTAACTAGGTATAAAGATGTCTAAGGAGAGATTAATAGAAAATGTAAGTATTATAATAACTCAGTAAGAAAAGAGTGAAAAAACAGAACAACATAAATAAAGGAGTTATTTGTATTTTGGGAAGTAAAACAGTTAGTAAAAACGACAACGTTATTATTAAAACGTCAGGTAGAAAGTTGGAGTGAAGGGAAATTGTACCAAAAAGCGATTTAATTCCTGACTAAGGATGAAACGTTGCTAGACTGGTATGTTAAATAACAACAGATATACACATTGTGTTCCTGATTAAGGATAAAACGTTGCTAGATTGGTATGTTAAGTAACAGCAGATACACACATTGTGTTCCTGATTAAGGATGAAACGTTGCTAGATTGGTATGTTAAGTAACAGCAGATATACACATTGTGTTCCTGATTAAGGATGACACGTTGCTAGATTGGTATGTTAAGTAACAGTAGATACACACATTGTATTCCTGATTAAAGATGAAACGTTGCTAGATTGGTATCTTAAGTAACAACAGATATACACATTGTGTTCCTGATTAAGGATGAAACGTTGCTAGATTGGTATGTTAAGTAACAGTAGATACACACATTGTATTCCCGATTAAGAATGAAACGTTGCTAAAGTGGTATGTTAAGTAACAGCAGATATACACATTGTGTTCCTGATTAAGGATGAAACGTTGCTAGATTGGTATCTTAAGTAACAGCAGATATACACATTGTGTTCCTGATTAAGTATGAAACGTTGCTAGATTGGTATCTTAAGTAACAGCAGATACACACATTGTGTTCCTGATTTAGGATGAAACGTTGCTAGATTGGTATGTTAAGTAACAGCAAATATACACATTGTGTTCCTGATTAAGGATGAAAAGTTGCTAGATTGGTATGTTAAGTAACAGCAGATACACACATTGTGTTCCTGATTAAGGATTTAATCAGAACACAATGTGTATATCTGCTGTTACTTAACATACCAATCTAGCAACGTGTCGGATGAAACGTTGCTAGATTGGTATGTTAAGTAACAGCAGATACACACGTTGTGTTCCTAATTAAGGATGAAATGTTGCTAGATTGGTATGTTAAGTAACAGTAGATACACACATTGTATTCCTGATTAAGGATGAAACGTTGTTAGATTGGTATGTTAAGTAACAGCAGATATACACATTGTGTTCCTGATTAAGGATGAAACGTTGCTAGTTTGGTATGTTAAGTAACAGTAGATACACACATTGTATTCCTGATTAAGGATGAAACGTTGTTAGATTGGTATGCTAAGTAACAGCAGATATACACATTGTGTTCCTGATTAAGGATGAAACGTTGCTAGATTGGTATGTTAAGTTACAGCAGATACACACATTGTGTTACAACACTGAAATCAACCACCTTTCACTTTTTCGCTGCACGAAGAAGTGTAAAAATAAATAATTACACAGATAATTATTAGTGGTCTACCTATTCGCATCTTGGAAAGTTGATAATACTATACGAGTTCATAGAAACATCAAACAAACAGCAACTCACATTTCTGAATTATCTTTTGACAATTGTTTGTTAAGTAAAGTTTGGTATTTACAGACAGATTTTTTTTTCTCATATGCTTGTGAAACGAACATATGGAAGTATAAAGTTATGAACACCTATGTTAGTTTGTTAGACATCCAAAGAGCTTATGAAAAATACAACGACAGATTATTTTTGAAAGAAACCCTCCTAACGTACGTTAGTGATAAATGCTTTTGTATGTCACGTGATTCATCCAGACTTTCCCGTATAGCTTCAATGTATCTACTTATAATTATTTTATGAAATTGAAAGTTTAAGCCTTTAATCAATTAATTAACGATTTAAAATTAAATTTTATTTATTTTATTATTTTCCTAATGGTTCCAGAGGAAAAAAAATATTGAGTTTATTTTTTCCATTTTTGCTCAATATTATTTAATGTTCTTATCTAATTGTGAAACACAAATGTATTCGCGGTTGTAGTTTAAACTATCAGTAGCTTATCACGCAATTTCAGATAGCCTGCTGAACATGTGTATTTTCAGAATAATATAGATTTTTGATGGATTGAGGTCAGAGTTTGAAATCACACATCAAAAGTGAAGACTACAGATGTGGTTAGTACGAATACGTAGTATATGTACATATTATTGTATGTTATAAATGTTTCGACGGTATCTGTGCATGTTTGTCAACGGGTGTACGTTTTATAAATAATGTTAGATTGAGAAGTGCTGAAAAGTTTAAACAAATGAATATTTTAAATCTAAAATGAAAGTATTATCCGAGTGTAATCGATGTTCAAAATATTTAGCGAAGGTGAAATATTTCTTGCTATTTATTTGTAACAGAAGCCCACTTACAGGATGTTTATTTGTAAAACTGCATTAATGTTCCTATAATAGAAAGGAGTTTCAAAAAATCTTCATTTCTTTTAATTTCAGATTAGATTTTACTGTGTTCTCTGATTTCCTTTAGAGTCGACTATAGCGACATTTAGTACTTCATTCGTCGTCCTGTGACAAACAGTACATATTGACAATCCGCGCATACTAAATGATATGCCCGATTGTGTGTAGATTACACAAAAATGTATGCTTACATAAATTAAGATAAATATCACCCCTTTGAATCATTGTATCCATTAGCAACGTTCACAATTATTAAAGGGGTTTAATGTTTCAATAACCTAACACAGACTGTGAAACAGACAAAAAAAAATCAAAATAGAAACGGCTTAGACTTCCACTCAAAATTTTAAGAGTCAAAACATAACAATAGCCCTAACAGTATCTATAGAATATTACTTCTGTATGGACGTTTTATACATATTATTCATCTTTAACTACCAGCAACAAACATTAGTTGATGGTTAAGTTCTTGTTTTTTATCTGATTATTACTAACTAGAAGTAGATATGATGAAACGTAGGACTGACTACTTGTGCCTAATGAGCTTTAATCATATGTTATGGTTTACCCTGAGAACGTCGTGGTGTTATTAGATAAAAAAACAACATATTATTCATATGTATTTTATCTTTCATAGATATACGTAACATGTCAGTTCAGTAAGTTATAAATTTTAATTTATGTATTTTTCTTTGTAGAAAACTAAAATACATATGTACTTCAACTTTCCTTTCTAGATATTTTTTGGTTTATATAAACTTCCAGAATTATCAGTTGTTGCAGCTTTGAACTTTAAAACTCATTTAGGCAACAACACTACCTCAAGAGATGTTTATCTTATTAATGCACTCAGTGATAATTCCCAGTATTTGGATGTATTTCGGGCCTTATTTTGATCTTACCACATACTTACTATTCATTCATATAGCTAATCATTGTTGGTATACTTATGAGAAGAAACACGAAGTCTACTAATGAAGACAAACATGGTTGAGAAGATGAAAAACGTTTTATTTCCAAGATTCATTGAACGTTTCAAAATATATTTATTTGTACTTGTATATCAACGCACCTTGAATCCAGGCTTCAGTGACTTTAAGATTTAAACTGGTATTTTCCTAGTAAAACTCTGTAACTCAACAATTTCATCCGCTTAGGAGTGTGAGTGGAACTGGTCTTCACGTAAAAATCCTATTACTCAACAATACGATCACATGAAGAAAACACGCGTCAAAATATATCAGTTAACAACATTACCATCAGACATTAAACTTATCATTAAAGAAAACCTTGTAGTTGCAAAAGGCCAGCTTGATACTAATAATAAACAGACATACTTCCAATTAAAACTGTTTCATCAAGACAATAAAAAAAACACCAATCTTTAGCCCTCCGATGGCTCAGTGGTAAGTCTAAAAATCAGGTTTCGATAAGTACGGCTAACACAGTACAGATAACCCAATAATGTAGCTTTGTGCTTAATAACGAACGAACAAACAAACATCAAACTGTAATTAATGTATCCTACATCGTGACTATTACTAATCTCAATGTTTTGATTTTATTCAGTAGTTATATCATTGTTTGTACGAGTTAACTCTATATACTAATAATAAGTTGGCAAACAAACAAACAACGATTTATAAGCATAATGAAGTGCTTTATTTTGAGGAGAACATACAACATGCTTGGACAGAACATTGGTCTGTCTTCTTCAGTCACGAAAGAAGATAGATTAATGCTCTATCGAAACATGGGGTATGTTCCCCCAAAACTAAATCACTTCATTACGCTTATAAATCGTTGTTTGCTAGCTTATTATATTAGCATAATGTGTTTCCTTACTCAAGCAACTCTACATACTGCTCACTTCTGAATAGTTTTCTAAGTTTCATTGTTCCTGAATATGGAATAAATACACTTAGGAAACGTTTGATGAATCACGTAAATAAAATGGTTTTCGTCCTCGGAAAAGTATTCAACTTCACGGATTATTGTTTCTTTAACATAAATGCCAACGCACACATTCATGTTGTGACACAATTTTATTAGATGTTTTCATATCTCAGACAACATTATAATTGATTTTTAAGGCATAATTACATTGAAACGTTATTTGTACAATACACATATTTAGAATACACATTAATCCCACAGAATGATTTTTAATATTTCACAATGGATATTTCTGTGTGAAACAACAATAATGTTAACATATATGTGTTTATCTTTGTTACTGACTTGTCACTTACTACCAGTACGTTCAAAATAGAAATTTGGTGTACATATTGAAAAGTATATCTAGATATAAGCGTTTGATTTGATGAACGATCTAATTATACTCGTTAAGCATAATTGAACAATAATCAAGTAGGACCTATTACATTAATAATGAATCATATCACGCACAACATTAGGACAAATAAGTAATACAACAAACATTGTCCATAATGCAAAACATGGTTACAGAGCATAGTAGGAGATCATACAGCATACGGGATTGTAGATAGTGGGTCATACTGCCAAGTTGATAAGGGTGATAGATTGTAGTGTAAGACAATAAAGGCGTTAAGATCATGCAATATAAGTGGCATAGGTGATAAAGTATGCTATGAACAAGTCGCAGATGTCGGATAAAAGGGTAAAACGACTAAGATGATGTAATTTACGGGTCATTGAATATACACATTATAAGTGATCAGTAATACAACAAAAATAAGATACGTGTCATACAACAATAAAATGAATATTATGGGTCATACAACAAGCGTTATGTATGCGATGGGTCCTGCAAAAACAATAATGTATGTTATAGTTCATACAACAATAATGATGCATATTATAACTCATACAACGAAACTAACGGAATTAATTATACAACAAATGTATGGTTAATGGAGATAATTCCATACAAGAGTCAGCTACTGGATTATATGTATTATAGTATAACTACTGAAAAAGGAATATAATAAAATATGCAAGCAACAGTTTACTCGGATAAAAGTAGTTGTATGCAAACATTAACTGTTTAATCAGAGTGGATTTAAAGTAAATACATTAGTTGTCTGAGTAAAATACTGATAAAGGACTAGTTTTTGACAGGATAATTTTAAAATACAAATATATCTATTGGGTTCATCTTAGAAGACTTGTCTGTTATACTACGTCAGGTGATGGGGTCCAAATCAACTGAGTCAAGCTGGTGGAATGAGAAACTTCTGGTGTTCCGTAACCCACCTTCTTTACATTTTGTCTGTTATACTACGTCAGGTGATGGGGTCCAAGTCAACTGAGTCAAGCTGGTGGAATGAGAAACTTCTGGTGTTCCGTAACCCATCTTCTTCGTGCGGCTCTCCTTCAGAGACTTGCTGTAGAGCCGGAAAACTTCGGAATTACAACTATACGCCACAGCCACGAAGAACCCTTGAAGAGAAGCCAGAACAGAAAAAGTAAACCACAGGGAGAAGATACCAGCAACTTGTGCTAAGAGACAACACAGCCACGTAGCTATCTGGAATAATACAATTTTCAAATAAAGAAACAGCTGAAGATAGCGACGATTCTTCATTTTCTCGGATGTACGGCGGTTCATCTGCATGCTAGCAGTATAACGGATAACGATAGCCGAGTGGACAAAGTATACTAAGTCAGCTCCGGCCAGCACAGCAGCTGGGATTTCAAGGGTATAAAGTAGAGTGTTGTAATCTACGAACCAACACGTTGGAACGACAAACTGGTGCTTTTCAGCTATATCATTGGAAGAGAGCAGAGCTGCTAAGCAGGTTAGGGCTCCAGGTAAGCCCCAGGCGAAAAGAACACACTTGAAAAGCGATTTGCGACTCTCAGTTAAAGGTGAAACTTGCAGATTGATGTTGTCACGGAAGGTCCGAAACATGTCTCTGGCCATGACTGCTAACCAACAGTGAACGGACAGCCACAGGTAGTGTAACAGAAATGCCAAGGTCATGCAGAGTCCGTTGTCATCCACCTTCTCTACGCTGATGACGGACAACAGGTGGGACAAAAAAAGGGCGGTTAATAGGTTCAACAAAGAGGTACCACTCACCGTGCGGAGATCAGAAAATAAAGTGTAAGTTATAAACGCCAGTACTACTCCGACAATTGACAGGCTCGTTCCGATCACCGTCAGGAGAGAGAGAAGACTCTGAGTTCCAGTCTCCCAGCCATCTTCATCACCAAAGTTACCCGTTCGGTTTACTGGCTTCCTAGGAAAGGTTGTAGCCGGACCGTTAACGGTCTGTAGACTGACCGAGAAAACGTCTGCCATCTCAGTGATCTTAGAAACTCGTCTCTTTTTCGCAAAAAAATATTTTTCAAAAGCTAGTATTTTTCTTATTGTAGACTTTCATAATTAAGAAATAATAAATATGGAGTATACTCTTTTTACTTTCTGTAAAAAACCTTGTTCCTCAAACTTTGAACTTTCACGAATCTGCTGCTAACTGAATTCAAGTTGGTAAGTTCTCGAAAACAATCACGTTGCTACGGTTGCGTATAACATGAAAACAACTGACATGTGGGGCTGGCGGCATTCCTTACCGAGATAATTCGTCTTTGTTGGTAATTCACTGAACTGATCGCACAAAGTGAGTATTGGAGCTCTTATAGCGCGAGTTTCATGCACACTTATCGCAGCGCCCTCAGCTGGAAATAAATAGCTTTAGACATACAAAGTTTGCTATTAGTGTTAGGCGAACAATGAACAATAGTTACAAAATATTATTAATTATAAGCTGAGGCTTTTCTTTTTACATTTTTACAGATTGTTACGTGGTCACTAAAATGTTATCACTTTATGTTATGATGATAACTGTGATTAACATCTACGTGTACCTACGTTAAGATCGCACTTAATGTCGATATTCATGGTGTGCCTGGTATTAGTGGCGTGTCTTAGAGATTGATCACTAAGTGCTACTATCGTTGAATGACCGCTCTATTATGGCTGAACGACCGACGTTTAGCAAGTTTTATTGGGGTGGAATTATTGTGATGATGTACAGTAGTATCTGGAGATAAATATTTCCACTGCACGGTAAAAATGGAAACGAAATAGTCTTATCCAGGGAGAGGAGAGAAAGGGTGGCAGCGCGAATAGGTCGAAGGAAACAGTAAACTCTCTAATACAAAAAACTGTATAGACATTAGTGAATGCAGTTAAAGCATTTTTGTAAACCATTTACGATTTCTTGGTTTCCTTAATGATAACCTATATAAAAACGTATTGACATCAAAAATATAAAGGTGGTAGTAAGAAGTAACTAGTGTACAATTTGGTTTGTTCGTAACGTTTTCCGTTGTAACAAATTTACTATGTTAATTCTTAGACCATTTAAAGAGAATAAATCAAGCCTTGTTTGCTTCTTTAAAGCATATTTTATCCATGAATGAATTCTGCTTGTATACACCGGTACACAGTAGTAGGATTTATTTTAATGCCGGTATTCAGTATCGGGACTTATTTGATCTATTTTTTTGACCAACCTATATGCCTTACATTGTACTCTCAGTAAGTAAACACGTCACGACTTACAGAATCTAAACAAGTCTTAAATATTATTCAAATGAACCAATAATTGACCTAACGACATTAGTTCTTGTTGGCAACAAGGTCACGAGGAGAAGAAGTTATTTATCAGCTTCGACGTCAGTCATTATTAAACCAATCGAGTAGTCGGATGTGTCTGAGTGATTGGTATGGTTAGTCAATAACGATAAATATATCTAAATGATACCTTTTATTGGCTGATGCTCTGTGATCGGTACCCGTTCCCGATATTAATGTATGTAATGTCTTTATATCATTCAATGGGAAGTAAAAAAAAAAAAAGGACATCTGAGTTAAGTTTACAGCTATGAAATTTTTGATTTAGTTACGTGCTAGAATATCTTTGTTTCTTTACAACTATTAAAGCAATGGTTGTATCTATTTTCTTTTTCTTTAGTAAACTATATATAAAATACGCAGATAAGTAAAATCCTTTGTTGTGTGCACGTATGAGTACCGGGACTTTTTTTTGTTGAGAATTCCACTCATCTTGATACCGTATAAAGTTGTTGAGAATTTCACTCTTCCTCAACTACTTTATATGGTATCAAGAAGAGTGAAATTCTCAACAGCTTTATACGGTATCAAGATGAGTGGAACTCTCAACTACTTTATACGGTATCAAGAAGAGTGAAATTCTCAACTACTTTATATGGTATCAAGAAGAGTGAAATTCTCAACTATTTTATACGGTATCAAGAAGAGTGAAATTCTCAACAACTTTATACAGTATCAAGAAGAGTGAAATTCTCAACAACTTTATACGGTATCAAGATGAATGGAACTCTCAACTACTTTATACGGTATCAAGAAGAGTGAAATCCTCAACTACTTTATATGGTATCAAGAACTTTATACGGTATCAAGAAGAGTGAAATTCTCAACAACTTTATACGGTATCAAGATGAGTGGAACTCTCAACTACTTTATACGGTATCAAGAAGAGTGAAATGTTGAGAATTTCACTCTT